AAAGCTCCATTCGCAGCTAAAGCAGAGAAGAGGAAGGCCGAATACGAGAAAACACTCCAGGCATACAACAAGAAACTGGTAAAATTCCAAATTCATGAAATTCATAAGAAAACGAAACACAAATTTGTCAATTTGTCGAATTTTAGAATCTGAAACTTTATTATGATCTTAATTTGTAGGCTGAAGGAAAGGACGCTGAAGAAGAGGAAGACGAGGAATCTGACAAGTCAAAGTCGGAAGTCCATGACGATGAAGAAGATGATGATGATAGTGCAGATGTAATTAATTAATTAATTAATTCATGTCTTCTCTAAATTATTAGTTTTCATTTTCACGAAATTCATCTGAAACGAGATTTTTGGTTGATTTTTTCAGGATGATGATGATGAAGACGATGAGTGAAAAGAAAGAAGAATATGTAAAACAAGAATTTGGGATCTTGAATTAAAAGTTTTTGTAAGCCTTCTTTTTAAGAGAAGGTTAATTTGGAAGTGAAAAATATCCTCAATCTTATGTGTACTTTTAATCCGTAATTTCATCTCAATGATAATTGTAGCTTTTAGATTTATAATTTGTTTCCTTTTTTTTTCTCGCATTTAATTGAAGATTCCGCAAATATGGAAATAAGTGGGGTGACATTAATTTATTTATAATAAGATATTTTATGAATAATTTGATTTTAAATAAATCATGATTTGAAAATTGGAATATATGCTTTATATTATTAGACTTCTTTAATTAGGTCGACCCGTTGAGACTTTATTAATTTTAGAAAAGAAAAGAAAACGACTTGTGTTTCTCTTCGCTTTCTCAATTTGTACCGAGATGTTGAATTTATGGACGGCACATGTGTTAGTTTTAGTTGATGGAATGGAATTTCCGACAAGTCGTTTCACAAAGGTGAAAGCTATATTTTTAGTAATGGTAATGTTATAGAAGGGTCCATATAGAAAGTAAAAATGGATTTCATGGAAGATAAATAGAAAATAAAAATGGATAGAAAGATAAGTAATAAATAGAAAGTAAAAGTAAAAGGATTTTAATTTCTCTTATTTTATTTTATTTAAGAATTTTATATTTGTAAGACAAAATTATGGGAATGGTCCTTGTGATATAATGGAAATTACAAGTTTGTTATAACTTTCATTTCGTTTCATTAATGGTACTTTTGGTTTTATTTCTTGTAAGATTACTCCTTTTGACTTTGAAATGACAATTTTACCTTCTATACTTATATTGAGAAAACTATAAAAAGTGTAAAAGCAGTTATGTGGTTTCTGTTTTTTTATTAAGTTAAAAATAGTTTCAATTTGCATCAAGTCTAAAACAGGATTTTTTTTTTCTAACAAACTTGACTTTTATTTATTTATTTAAATTAAAAGTCCATGTCAAAGACTAATCTGTATTTAAATAATGTATATTTTTTAAAATTTTTTTTTGTTAGTTTCTCTTTTCCCATTATTCAAAAAGATTTAATCTCTCTCTCTCTCTCTCTCTCTCTCTCTCTCTCTCTCTCTCTCTCTCTCTCTCTCTCTCTCTCTCTCTCTCTCTCTCTCTCTCTCCAAACCATTGGCACTAACACACAAACCTATTTGGGGAACATTAACTATTGTCGCCACCACTCCATCACTATGATATCTCCAATTTTATAGCCAATTAAAAATTTTATTTTTATTTTTATTTAAAACATAATATTCTTGTACTAGTATGGAATTTATCCCAAAACGTTATTAATGTGGAATGATATCAATATCAAAAGCATTCCGAAGAAACGTTTTTTCATTAATATTTGAAAACTTGTGATGTTATAACGGATACATAAACATAAGCACAAACTAGTCTTTACAGGCCTTTCATCAATTTATTTAATGACCTAAAACTCCTTAAAATCTCTCGGCAGATTCAAATGTCACTATTATTGTGCCTTCATATTACTACCTGTGATACAAGTAAACTGAGTGAGTCGAACTTGAGAGTCTGGTGATACAAACTTTCTTTAAAAAGTTACTACCGAAAAGCTCTATATTTTTAATTATAATTTGGTAAACACAAGAGTATTCGATATTCATTTCAAAATACTTCAACATTGCATCATTTTTTTTCACCTTTTCACATACTTGCACAAAATACATATCGTAACACTTTACTATGGTTTTTAGGGTTGTTACATTGCAAGAGATTAGTAATAAAAAAGGTAGTTGGAGTAGAATCAAAGGTGACTTGGTACCCTGCTAAAAGAGCGTCGAGTCTTTATTTCCCTATCCCACTTTCTGTGCATCGTTCTAGTTGTAGTCGCCGACCCTGTAACCAGATTTCATCAAGTTCGATTTCTAATGATTATGGTTTGATTTTGCGGTTTATACGGGAACGCAAATGCCCATTTTAGGTTTGATTTTAAGGTTTGAGTTCTAATTTGATCATAAGGTTTGGTTTTCAGGTTTGATATGTTTTGGTTATGAGCTTTGATTTCACGTTTTATTTTGGTTTGGTTTTAACCTTTAATTTCACGTTTGATTTTGGTTATGTTTTGAGCTTGACTTCAGGTTTGATTTCGATTTGGCGACGATGGTGGTTATTAGAGGTGAAGAGGGTGCCTATAGCAGTTGTGGTAGTTGCTAGATGTTTGAACAAGGAAGGGCGAGGATGGGGTAAGATTGGTGGTCTCAATAATAAAATAATAAATAAAAGATATAAGTAAATTATAAAAATAATGGTTATTGACATAACAACACATGAAAGTTTTACGTCTGATTTTAAATGACCATTTAACTTTCTTTTGTATCTGTCAAACCATTAAACTTGAAAATTACCTGTCTAAAACACCATTTTGCTTAGAATTATCAGGTTTCCAGGTTACATTTGTTTGTGTACATTGACTTCTTATAGTCAAAGGTTTCCACAGCCATGTGGATGCCTACGTGGGGTTTGACATTGAAGAACCATCATCAAAATCACCACCACCACCACCACCACCTTATGTTTCATCCCACTACCACCGCCACCATCCATCCAGTGAAAAATCATTATACAAATAATCATTAAGTTTCTAAATTCAATATATTGGTTACTTAAATAAATATGAGAAAAAAGGTAAAATGGTAGCATAATGCCGGTAAATTCACCACTAAACCTTAAACCTTAATCGCCGAACAAGATTCTTCCTCCTCTCACCGGAAAATGCTAAAGCTTTTCCCCCTGCGGCGACATGACCTCCACAGCCAAAACCGACCACAATCCTCTTTATATTCCATCATCTAACAAAATCTCATTTTGAAGACGACCCACCTTTTTCCCCAATCCTCAAAACTATAAACCCCTAAAATCAGAAAAACAAGAAGCTCAAAGGAAATGCATCAAACAAGAAACCCCTGAACGAATTTCCTATAAAATCAAATTTACCATTTGATTTCAGGTACTCATACTCCGAGACCAACCCTTCCATCGAACCTATTGGCTATCAAGAAACCCCAAAATTCTCTCATTTTGGACCGGGTCGACTTGAACGCGCATGGACGGGCACGGTGGCTCCATTGCAGCAGCTATCGACATCGCCAAGGTAGAAGAAGAGAGAAATGTCGTTCTTAGGAGTCCATTATCGGAGGAAGAAGTATCCAAACGGGTTGAACGATATGGTACAGTGATTGCTCTCGCCAAATCAATTTGGTTGTAAATCACATCTTTACTACTAAATTGTTGTAAATTGATTATGCTTCCGTGTGGAAAATCAATTTAATCGGATTAAATTGACATTTATGATGTGTTAGGGAAGGGTGGGGTTACCCACAACATGATTGATGGCATCCATGGCCAAACCTTGAAAAGTACATGCCCTTTCATCTTGATTTTGCACTGGATGGATGGTGGCGGTGGTAGTGGGAAGAAGCGGAAGGTGATGGTGGTGGTAGTGAGATAGATGATGGTTCTTCAATGTCAAAGTCCACATGGACATCCACGTGGCTATGGAAACCTTTGACTATAAGAAGTCAATATACACATCAACAAATGTAGCCTGGAAACCTGATAATTTTAAGCAAAATGACGTTTTAGACGGGTAATTTTCGAGTTTAATGGTTTAACAGGTACAAAAGAAAGTTAAATGGTCATTTAAAACCAAACGTAAAACTTTCATGTGTTGTTATGTCAATAACTCTAAAAATAAATATATTTCGAGTTTAATGGTTTAACAGGTACAAAAGAAAGTTAAATGATCATTTAAGACCAAACGTAAAACTTTCATGTGCTGTTATGTCAATAACTCTAAAAATAAATATATAAGGGTATTAGCAATCATTTCATGATAGAAAAAAAAAAAACTAATTATAACTACAAGAATGATATGAATTAACAATAAAGTTACAAACAAAACGTACAAATTACCTCAAATGCTTTTTGTAACCTTTGTTGTCCATATTCCAAATGATTTTTGGTCTAGTTTTTGTAACCTTTGTTGTCCATAATCCAAATAAAATGATCGACCTTAACTATAACTTATTTTTGCAGCTACCAAAAAATAGTCATTTCACTTTAAACATGGATAAAAAAACGTTACAAAAACAGAAAACCTCAATTAACAAGCAGAATTATTTTTGTGAACAACATTGAAAAATTAGATACATTCAGGTACTAAAAAATGTAATTTACTCTTTAAAAAGTTCTCGAACCAAGTTTTATGAAAATTCCGATAATAATAGTACAGAAATTTATTGTGATTTGATAGGTCAATTGGTTGGAGTTTTCATCTAATAGTACAGTTGGATGTTTACATAGACAAAGAAAAAAGACGAGTGAGATGAAAGTCGAACTCGAACACTACTATCTTTAATGCATAAAAATATAATTATTAATTAATGCACAAAGAGCAAAATCGCAGAGGAAGGACAAACATAAATTAAAAGCTTATCTTTTCAGAAAACTGCAAAGTTACTTATAATTAATGAAACAAGTATATATATATATATATATATATATATATATATATATATATATATATATATATATATACTACCATCAATTTTTTCCCATGCGATCTACTTCAGTACTTTATTGCAAAGGTATTTGCCAACCCTCGTGGATAATATCAACCAAGGTATAACACCAACCTACAAACGCAATCAATAATATATTAATAGTGGGCAAAAAAAAAAAAGAGGTAATTGTGTTGTGGATTTAAATTTTAATAAAAAGGGAATTAAAATCCTGATTTACCATTATTATATTGTTGCTAAAAGAGCCTCCAGTTTTCCAGGATAAAAACCTCCCTGCATTAAACAGTGATTAAATTTAAAGGTAAAAGTAAAAAAAGAGAGTGCACTTTGTAATTATATTGTCCCCATCTTATGACTAAATATTTTAAATTCAAGAAAAGTTGTATTCCTAAACAAGCCTCTTTTTAAGGACTCTCACTTCAACCCAAAAAACGCAACACTTATCTTTTTTAGGCGAACAAAAAGTATGCAAATTTCCTTTTTTGGTATATTAACCATCCAAATTTACTTTTTTACCCATTAACAATCATTGCTTGATATTAAACAGAGAAGTAAAATATATGTGGACTTCTAAGTTCTAACAAAGCCAAGGGAGAAAAAAAAAAGAGTAAATCACACGAATGGTCCCTATGGTTTGGGGTAATTTGCGTGCTTGGTCCCTAATTTATTTTTTTAACTCGGAAGGTCCCTACTATTTGTTTTTGTTACATGCTTGGTCCCTACTGTTTGTTTTTGTTACGCGTTTGGTCCCTGTTTTACCTAAAAAGACTATTATTTAAATAGGGAAAAATTGTGGGGTAGGTAAGGTAAGGTGAGGGGTGGGGTTGGGACTGTGTTTATTTAAATAAATAAATAAATCAAGGACAAAATAGTCTTTTTAGGTAAGACAGGGACCAAACACGTAACAAAGGCAAACAGTAGGGACCTTCCGAGTTAAAAAAGTAAGTTAGGGACCAAACACGCAGATTACCCTAAACCATACGGACCATTCGTGTAGTTTACTAAAAAAAAAGAGTAAATTACACGAATGGTCCCTATGGTTTGGGGTAATTTGCATGTTTGGTCCCTAACTTATTTTTTTAACTCGGAAGGACCCTACAGTTTGTTTTTGTTGCGCGCTTGGTCCTTGTCTTACCTAAAAAGACTATTTTGCCATTGATTATTTAATTTATTTAAATAAGGTGGGGTAGGTAAGGTAAGGTAAAGTGAGGTGAAAGTGGGGTTGGGGGTGTGGTTATTTAAATAAATTAAAAAATCAATGACAAAATAGTCTTTTTAGGTAAGACAAAGACCAAGCGCCCAACAAAAACAAACAGTAAGGACCTTCCGAGTTAAAAAAATAAGTTAGGGACCAAACGTGCAAATTACCCCAAACCATAGGGACCATTCGTGTAATTTACTCAAAAAAAAAAAAAAGAATTACCAAATGGCTGCACAAGTTCTTTGGATATGGAAACCACAGGAATCCTCCAAAACCACACGATCATTGTAAGATATATAACAACCTAGCCAAGAAAAATAAGGGTATTTTAGTCAAAATAAATATGATAAACTTTGTATCAACAATATACAAATATTAACATGATCAATCACCTTTGAAATCATCAGAATTTTCTCATACAAGCTGAATGACACTTTTATCTCCTTGCTGGATGACTCTTGACCTGTATATCATGTAAAGTTTTTATGTATTTTAATAGGAATTAGTTTCTTAGAAGAAATAGACACCTAATACAAGTATTAAATATCATACTTTTTGCAAGCTCTTTTTCCTTAGCTGTTGCCATTCTCCTAAGCTTTGCAGATTGAGCAAACGTTGAAGGCCTACATTACATGATAAAAATCTTAATTGATGTTTGTTTATTATGAATACATGACAAAAGTTGTGATGTGTAAATCTGAATCCAACTTGTGTAGAGTAACTATCGAAAATTTGTATACTCACTCTGACAAAGCAGCTGCCTCCTTCAATAGTTGTTTGATTTCAGCACGCAATTGGGCATCCTTTTTACTCATGGAAGCTTTCTGAAATACCACAAGATTATTAATTTTTAGCATACACATTGTTAGTATGCAACAGTTTACATATAGACATAGTCCAATAGCTTCAGTAAAAGAAAAGCCCAAAATGGCATAATCCAATCATGAATTTGTTTATATGTTAACACCTTGTTCTTTGTAACCTAATTTTAGCTCAGAAAGATGTTTCGATTACCATTGACTAGCAGGTGATTAGAAACTTATCTACATGATCAACAATCAAGATGCTTTTTCCCCTTTACAAAATCCCCTAATTCATAGCATTTCAACACCCTACTTAAATTTTATAATGCTGGCACAACAGGTTACATGATAGCAGCAATACAATCCCACGAACACTTCAATATTCAGGTGATTGCAACAGGAAAGCAATCAATTTAGACTCAGGAAATGGAGGCCATTCCACTTAAACCTAACAATTGACCGACATGACTGAATCGATAAATCACGATTCACATAGTTAACTCGACTCCCAATCGGAAACTATCGGTGCGGAAAACTAGATATGGATGCAAATTAGGTAGTAAACAGTGAAATTGCAAACGAAGTTTGAATGAAAGGGAATTGGAAAGTTACCGTTTTCATATTTGATAAGAACTTGTCAGATAACTGGAAAACCATGACAATGATGAAGATGATTGGAGCCGCTAATGATTTGGTATGCTCTTCCAGGGTTTCTTCCATCCCTCACGCTTCTCTTGAATCCAATTCCAGAATCGATCGGAGAATTTTCAACAATTCAGTTCTCTTTGAACTTCGAAAGAGTAATCTGCCTGTTCTTTTTTCCTTTTTATTGTTTTTACATTTTCAGTACCCTCACTTGATGTTTTATTTCATTCAGTCCCTGGACTTGTGTATCTTGATGGGGTTTGTAAAAAACCCAAATTTCGACAAAATTGCAAAATAAATAATTTACTTGATGATTGTACAACAATTTTGCTAGCCAATGCTCAATCTACCATTTTAATATGTAATTTGTCGAACCAACCCTTAATAGCAAGGTTCAAGGATTGAAGTACAACTAAATCATGAAAGACGTCAATTTCATTTATCAATATTTTTTTTAGAACAATTAAATTTCATATTTCTATTTTACTCCTAAATCTAATATCGCTATAGCACATGTTTGGTTCATTTATATGAGTTATCCTTTTATATACAATATTTCTCAACATTTACTTGTATATTATGCATATCCTTCACCAAAAAAGAACTTTTGTCCGGCTAACTTATCAAATACAAATATAGGTATAGTTTGTAACAAAAGATATGATAGACCTAATTTGTATTAAGAAACGAGGGTGTTGCATCACATATTTCATTTTTAATCAATAAGCACTTCCCTTTTTTCAATATAAACAATGTCTCTTAGTTTCTTACCCATAATATGAACACACTTATAATGTCATTTTGCTTAATTTTTTACCGATAAAACAATAAGTTACACATAATAATAACATATTTATATTTCTTTATACATAATAACAACTTACATACAATTTTTTTAGTAATTATAACAAAGAAAACATATTTCTCATATTGGTAATGAAATACTAATGAAATGTAATTGCTATCTATCATGGTTAAAAAATACTGGTTCTTCTCATTATACAAACAATAAAATTTTATTGTTTATTATCCTTAAAAAGCCTAAATACATTTCTTTTGTAGATAAAATAATCCCACATTTCTCATATTAATAGTATGAAAAAGAATCATTCATATTGCCCTCAAATCTCAATATGCGCCAACCAAGGTCACCTAAACATCCTTCTATATCTACTATCGAATCGAGGTGGAATGCTCTGTTCGTTTGTGAAGAAATTTCCTGGGTCAACCATCGTCTTCACTTTCACCAATCGATCGAAATTGCCCTTGAAATACTTTTCTCCATAAACTCTCCCTTCCGAATAGCTATTGTTCCCAACACTGCTAACACCAATGTCAAGATCCCGATAGTTAAGATACGCTCCTCTCGGATCCTTAGACACAAACGGAGTCATGAAATCATAAAGAACTCTCGTCTGATTAACATAGTAAGCCGCTAATTCACTCCCTTCTTCATGCCAATTCACACCATAATGGATTTTGAAAATATTCCCAGCTCGATGCGGGAATGGAGTCTCCCAATCCGGGATTTCACTCATTCTTCCACCATATGGGTTGAACGTAAGTCCAACAACACGTAATTCCATCATTTTCCGGAATAAAGATTCCATTCCATCTCTCGGAATCGGAATCTGTAGGAAATCCGACTTCCGTTTTGCATATTGTGACGTGAAAAGACTCCGGTCTAGCAAAACCTCCACCGGTGCTTTATCGGTGCTTGACCAGAAAAGCTCCGATTCAATCCAACTCATTTCCTTGCAATTGTCTTTTTGTATACCCAATTCGGGAAACCCTTCGTTCATCACTGAAACAAGTTGATCGGAATCTCCTAGAAAAAACCCAGTAAACTCCGCTTCGATCGTCTTCTTGGCGTTATCTGGTTTTATATATAACCTAATGAAAAGATCTCGATCAATCTTGTCAGCTACATACTGCCACCTGTCAGCGATATCAATTCCCTTTTCTTCCGACGACTTTGATACTCGGAAAACGGTGACAGTTTCCGGAACTCCGACGAGTCGTAGTTTATACGACAGTATGACTCCAAAGCTTGCGCCACCTCCTCCTCGTATAGCCCAAAAAAGATCTTCCCCCATAGATTTTCTATCCAAAACTCTACCATTAACATCAACTATCATCGCATCGACAATATTATCCACTGTAAGTCCGTATTTTCGCATCAAAACTCCATATCCACCTCCGCTTATATGTCCACCGATTCCTACAGTTGAGCAAACTCCGGCGGGGAAGGCGTGGACTTTACTTTTCTCCCATATTCTGTAATAAAGCTCTCCAATGGTGGCGCCGACTTCAACTATGGCGGTTTCTTCTGTGATATTGACATCGATTGTTCTAAGATTAGACATGTCGAGTAAAAGAAAGTGGCGAGTGTAGGAGACGTAAGAGAGTCCTTCGAAATCATGGCCACCACTTCGGATTCTGAGGTTTATTGATAGGTTTTTGGAGCAAAAGATTGTGGATTGGACATGGGTTTGGTGTAATGGGGTGACGATGATTATGGGTTTGGGTGTAGTCGATGTATTGAACCTTTTGTTTCTGATGTAGGCTTGTAAGGTTGGTGTATATGAAGAATTGTTTGGGTTGTAGAGTATTGATGAGACGTGATCAGATGAGTTTCTGTGGGACATACATTTGAGAAAGGTCTCATAGACTGAACGTGAATGATATTCACCGGCTACTGATGTAAAAGACTGGAATACAAACGACGTCGTCAAGGGTAGTAATAGCAGAAGGGAATGGTAAAAACTCTTCATTTCTTTCATTTCGTGTATTAATCCAATACCAAATGCAAGTTTATAAAAATTTAATGATATATCATTAGGTCAAAAGCTATATGTCTTAATCTTTGTTAACTTTGGTTTATATGAAACATTGTTGGTTCATAGCATAAGTATCATCTATGCATTTGAATTTTAGCTTGGACAAGTGTCTAATTGGAAATTGGAACGACCGAAATAGAATCTGATTAACCGGTTACATTTAAAAAAAAAGTACAATAAAATTCAATGGTCTCCCGTATATAATTACAGAACTTATAATAATACGATCAATGAACACTGTGGGCTATATCAACTATAAGAAATAATAAAAAAAATGATATAAATTTGTAGCCAAAATCATTCTAGAGGTTTGTGCAGCCGGGGTCTGTTGCAAAAAGCGCGACCATTTTCTTTCACATATCGTGTAATTAATAGACTCAGTGATGCCCAAAAAATAGACAATGGCAACTGCCAAAAATCATTTCGAACTGCATAATAACAAAACCATTTTACCAACTTAGTCACTTAAAAGACAAAAATATCCATCTTTCTTACACTTTTTCCAAAAATTAGCCAAAAGTTAAAAAAAAAATTTCCACCAAAACCACCACCTAGAAATGGCTTTGGCATTGCAAGATCAATTAAGCGATGTCCCTTTGATATTTGAAAATAAAAAATGTAATTAACTTTTTTTACTGCAACACCAAAAAATAAATAAATTCAGTACTGCAAAATGCTCATATTTTATCAAGAAAACATTTGTTTATTGTGGTAGGGATCTTCAAATACCATTTTCATAGCAAAATAGAGCTTGATAGTTTCACCATTTTAGAAAAGAAAAAAAAAAGCTTAAGAAAGATGGATAAAACACGTGCGTCATAAAATGAATTATTATATTATTTCTTGTATAATATGAATATGAAAATTGGTGTAACAAAATTAGCATGCAACCAACTCACCTCGTATGAGTGACAACAATGCGAAAAAGATACCCATCAAGATAACTCCCACAACAACAGGAAATGGCTGCAAAACAAGTGAAAGTAAAATCAAGATATAATTAATTAAATATGATATAATTATGAAAATAAGATAAAATTACTACTCACTGCAATGTTCTCTATCCCTCCTTTTCTCTTTGGAGCCATGTCTCGAGTAAGAGAAACAATGTAATGCCCTTGCACTAAATCAATCGAATCCTACACAAATGAAAAAATAAATAAATATATTGCATATTTGTTTTCCACTTTTCCTATAATTATATTATAAAAAATATAAAAATAACATGCTGACCTGTTTTGTACCATCAACAAAGTTATTGAGGTAATAACGCATTAGTGCATTATAGCCATCTTTAAGCATTCCTCTAGTAGTCCTCCGACCCACTCTAAAACAAGAAAATGAATTTAACTCATCTAAACATTAATCATAATAATTAAATAAATTAATTTCGACTTACCTGACAAAATCTCCTTTAAGAGCAGGCGTGCCAGAATACTGGATGCTTATATCGTCCCCATGATTAGCCCATACTGAAATCATTACAGGACAGAACATGACATGACAGACTGTTTTCAATAATAAAGAGTATTTTGAGTGGGACATTAAAGATCAGTCAGTCTAATGTACACCAAACACAGTACAAGTTGTCAGTACAAGTTGTCAGATGTGGCCTAAAGGAAACCAAGAATGAAAATAAAGTACATACATATTTTGAAAGAGTCATTCAAATTCGAATGTGTGCTAATGTTTTCATCGGCATCAAAAAGACCAAGTCTTTGAAGTTGGAATTCCAACATTTTTCTCCCAATCATGCTCTAAAACAAACAACAAAATATAATATGGATTAAAGTTACATATAAGTTAATTATAACCAAAGATGAAGAATATAATAACTTTGAAAGTAAAATATATATATATAATATACCTGTGTGACATTTGTACGATCTAAGCAATCTATACAATTAGTCCTTACAACTCCTATTTGTGTTTCAACTTTTTCGCGTCTTTCGTTTAATAAATGGTACCTATCAATACAAAGAAAAGTAACATTAATTAAATTAGTTTTCTATTACAAAAGCATAATTAAGATACATGCAAGATTGTGTGAACCTAATGTATCACTTATATAAAGTATTATAACATTTATAATTCAACTTACCAAGTCTTTTTTTGTTGTCATCCTTTATAGTTCTAAGCTTGAAAATTAACAAGCCCTTATAATCATGGTATTGTAATTGAAACCTATTGAAAAATGATGTTTATTACTAAGTTGGATGTGAGTCATATTTTTGATTTTTCCTATCTTTCATGCAATGTTCAACACCATTACCAATTTCACAATTTGACATTTTAAATACAACTAATAAAAAAATAATAAATACTCACCTATTTTTAATCAGGAAATCTTCAATTTGTTCATAAAGGATAGACAAACGCTCAAAATGAACATGTCCACAAATCTTATGAAAGTCAAAGTGCAAGTATCTGCATAACTCACAGAATTAACCATATATATATATATATATATATATATATATATATATATATATATATATAAGAGAAAATTTAGCAAGAAATAAATGAGAAAAACAAAATTACACAAGATTCTATTTCTACCTCACATCATCGTTCAGAATCTTCTCCATGGATGTGGCAAACTTTTCAGACAAACGCCCTTCATCACCACGCTATAAAAATAAATAAATAAATACAATGAATGCAGAAGATTTTATATTTTGTGAACAAGAAAGAAACAAGTATTTATATTTTATACCGTATTAACAAGATCAATGGCTATAACATTTCCATATTTTTTCCTTAAATCCAAAAAATGGCGCTCAGAAATGTGAGGCTACAGAAATAATCATATGGAAGGTTATCAGATAGTTATTTATAGATATATGGATGTGAAATAATATTAGAAAAAGTAATTAAGGATTAACCACTTACTGCTTTCTCAGGTTTCATAATCTCAAACTTTGGCTTATATGATAAATCAACAATCTGTTCCCAAAGAAAAGGGATTGACCCTCGGACCTACAAACACAAAATCTGTTAAATGACAGATTTACCCCCATTTTGTCCTTTTGTTGTATATTTGTTTTAACTTTTAATAGCTTGATCCAAGGGAAAAATAGTCATATTAAAAAAGTAACAAATGAGTTCTTAGATTTACAACATAAAGACCAACCATGTGAAGAAAATTGAAATTGGACTGAACCTGTGATTTTCACCAAACCACAGGGACTATTTCTGTAATTACTCTATGAAAAATGGATATCTAAGTCTAAAGAGACATGAAGTATACCTGTACAAATGATGCTGTATACCCTTTTACTTGTATGATCTGTTCACTTTCCACAAAATTTGCTACATACCCATCATCATCAGCTCCTCTTCTCCACATCCTAGTCCCTATTTATCATAATTTGTTTTTAAAATTAAATGAAAAAAGGTAACTAAAAGTCTAAAACTTTGTGTAAAGATATTAAAAACCACACCATTTCTCCTAGTACACCTTCTTGCTATCAGGGTGACATCTATAATATCTTTCCCAATTGCTGCTTGAAAATTTTGGAAAGCTGTTACTAAGTTAAGGAAATAACACCTACATTTTTGTACTTTTTTGAAAAGTAATTAAATAATGAAAGGAAAAAAAAAAAGGATACTCCCTTGAATAATAGGAAGAATGTATGCTTCGAGCTTGTGCACATATTGACAATGTCAGAAAATCAGAAGATCAAAAAGTTGTGAAGCAATTGAGGTTTTTTAGGGATTTTTTTAGTAAAATTGGAAAACAAACCTTGTTATCTATGAGAAGTTCCAACATATAATTATTCCATACGAATCGAGGTTCTGCCTGTCACAAGTAAATATCAAGTGTTTTAAATATGTATATAAGAGTTAAAAACAACATATTTCAAGGGTTTATGTTGTAATTTAGCAACAAACTATTTTGTATATTATGAAATAGACTATTTATTTAGCTACAAGTATACCAAAGGATTTCAATTTGAGGCAATAACTACCTGCCTCCAGAGAGGAATCTTAGTTGCTTCCACACCCAAGTCATTTAACCTTTGGGCACTGCAAGAAGGAAAGGGAAAAGGATCTTCAAAGACAAGAATTATTGAGAATTATAAAAAACATGGAGAAGAAAAAGACCTTAGTGTTATATTGACATGGTATGAAAAATAAAGGCCAGGTGTCCTCTCAGCAACTTTTAACAGACTTGAAAACTCTGACTCCATCTTTTTCTACAAGAAAATGAAAAAAAACGTTACATATTTCATATGTTATCACCAATATTAAATTACCCAAAACAAAAAAAGCAATTTCACCTTTTCATCACAGGAGCTTTTTAGAGAACGATCACAGGGAAAGACTTTGAGTGACAAGACTTTGTAGATTGGATGGCCTAAGTATAATCCAACATTTTCACGTTCTGTTATAGCTAATAAATATGATCCTGCAAACATATGGTAAGAGTTTTAGAGTTGTGTGAAACTTCACTGCTGAAAAAGAATATAACAACAACATAAATAACCATTTCCCCCAAATTTATAGTAATGCAGATGCACATATCAATTACATTACAAAGATTATAAACAATTTCGCAGCTTATAGAATGTGGTAGCTTTAAAATCTGACCTGCCAAAAGCTTTAGTATTCCAACAACACCATAAATTGTCTGAATTTTAGGAACACGAACAGTTGTACAATCTGGGATTTCATCTACATAAACAAAGTTTTGAAGACTTATTAAGTGAGATTCGGCAGATAATCAGTAAAGCAACCGTTAATTTGACCCTAACAAAAACCACACAATTGCACTAAAATCGAAGCACAGTGATCAAATCTCAAATAATAGAAGATTATATTAATAACGAAAGTAAGATACAGGTTTCAAGTGGTGACTTGGACACAGACGAGAAACTTCAACCGGAAATTTTTTAACAATCGAAGCAAAAAGTTATGAATGCTTAGAAAAATCGAGATTAAAAACACAAACCAACAAGCGTCATGGAGCCATCACGTTTCACAACCAAACAAGAACCAGATGATCCATCGATGGGCTCTGCAACATATTGATCAGGTAACTCCCATAATCGCATACGTTTATACAATTTCCGGGCGTGATCTGTCTTCTCCATCATAAATCTTCGATTATTTTTTCCCTTTCGATCCCTAACAAACCACTCCTACTGAATCGATTGGAATTTCCATTCTTCTACAAGTAATTCTCGAGAAATTATTTTGAAAATCGGGAGAGGGAGTGACGACGAGCGGAATAAACTCGAAAAAACACGAATATGGAAAACCTCCCGCTTGTTGTTAACAGAAAAGCGCTTAGAATTCGGGAAACTTTTATACCGATTTAGAAGTCGTTATAGTTATACTAAGCCCCCTGTAATATAATACATTTACACTACAAACCCTTGTAAACGAGTTATTTCGTCCAAACAAGTTGAGGAAGGAACTATTTAATAATTAGGTTATAACCCGTGTAATACATAGTTGACAAAATAAATTAATGTAATTATTAATCATAGATTTCAAACGGTTATTTTTATACAAAATTTGATGTTTCGTCCGTAAATCTATCATCGTTATTTTAAATTAATTAAAAAGATAAATATGTTAATAACATTAAGGATTATTAATCATTAAGATGTTAACAATGTTTCCATCAGAATCATTTCCAACGGATACATCTATTAGGTATGTACACATTTTACTTTCAATTGAAATAATAATGGAGTTTAGCAGTCCCATATCCCCTCAATTAGATTATAACTATTGTGGTCTGAGTATTTAAATGAACTGTATTTAACATTAACTTTAATGATGTTTTATCAATCCATGCCAAATATGACCGCAAAGTGGTTAGTTTTCAGCTGGAAGATTTTTTAAATATATAGATTGTGAAGATGTAGTTTAAAAGACTTGACATCCCGATTGTCAAAGTTAGAATGTTCAAAAATAAAAAAGGTGACAAGATATAAAGGTTTAGGAACCAAAAAAGTTAAAACAGAAAAAAGAAATTCAACATTATAAATAACATCATGAAAGCTACATCTTTGACCCTTCAAATTTAATAGTTAATTTAATTTAGTAAATTAATTTTCGTAAGTCTAACTTTGATAATGGTTTCTTTTAATCAATTTAATTATTAGTTTTCCTCGTACAATTCATTACCTCTCTATTATTTGGTTTCTATGAATCCAAAACAGATTAAGAATCTGTCTACATATATTTTGAAGTAATTGATGTATATATATATATATATATATATATATATATATATATATATATATATATATATATATATATATATATATGCCCATATTTTATTCTTCGCACGGGGCCTTCAAAATGAATTGAAGGGACTGGCCTGACTTTTAAGTAAACCAAAAACATAAGTTGACGACCGAGTTTGTTGACTTGATATCAAGACCATAAGTAGCAATGTTTGGCGATCTGGACTGATATGACCGACAATGAACCTGATTGTGGTTGAAATCCAAGAGCTTGGAGAAGGAAATCAAACATAAAAAACCATGGATGAAATATCATAAACTAAATAGATTTTTTCAAAAATTGAAGTGGGTTTCTTTCCAAAAAATACAATCACGTAAGAAGAATAAAAGCCAAGTGAAAAAGTGAGGTGATTATCAGAAGATTTGTGTGGTACATGTATGAAGAAGAAGCATTGGATTTCAACAGATAATGCCATACGTTGCATAGAGGCGCTCCAACTCCATTTTTTTATTATTTACAACACTAATATCAAGACCAATCAAAGAGGGATAGGAATGAATGTAATTACACCATCCATTTTATATTGGATTTAAAAGATGCTTATTATCTTTTTTCGATATAGATTGATCTAGATTCCTTTTTTATAGCAAAGTTTATTTCTCTTGCTTTGTATTTAAGACTTTTCCTTTTTCTCCTGTTGAAATTGAAAAAAACACGTTCCATATGGTATCAAAGCGTGTTTTAACCTAAAAACATTAAACCCTCATTATCGTTTTTCTTCATCATGGTCGTTGATGAATTAGGATCTAACTAGGGGTCAAAGAAGGAGACTGGTCCTGATGCTAATTCCCCACTCTACATACATCCCTCAGATTACTCAAAACAAATGCAGGTTAATGATGTTCTCACTGACAACAATTACATCGACTGGTCATAGGAGGTGATGAACTTCCTGTTTGCCAAAAACAAAGTTGGTTTTATCGATGTGTCCATAAAGAAACTAGAGAAGGCGGATGCAGATTATATGGCATGGATGCGTTGTGACGCCATGGTGAAAGGATAACTTACAACAGCCATGGAGAAGAGCCTACAAAATAGTGTGAAATATACAACCACAGCCAGTAAAATCTGGAACGTTTCGGGAAGGAAAGTGCGCCTAGGGCATATGAATTAAAGCATATTCTTACAGGAACACGACAAAAAGGTGCCTTTGTTTCCGCTTACTACATGAAGTTACGAGGAATTTGGGACGAGATGCAGGAGGTACTCGTAATTCCACGATTTGCATGTAATGGTTGTACATGTAACATTGGAAGACAAATGGTGGAATTCATGGAGAAAGAAAGACTTTACAAGTTCCTTATGGTACTTGACAGCGACTTCTCAATTATCCAGACACAAATCCTTGCCATGAACCCGATTCCCAGCTTGGGAAATGCATATCACCTTGTTGCTTAAGATGAAAGACAGAGAACAATATCCAGTGACAAGAAACCCACAACTGAGTCCGTTGCTTTCACAATTTTCACTCAGACCCAAAGATAATGGAACCCTGGTCAGTGACGTAACATTCCCTCGACAAAAGACAAAAAGTGAACCACATGAACATTGTACTTTCTGTAGAAAAGATGAAGGTTGTTTCAAACGGATTGGATACCCTGACCGGTGGCCGGGAAACAAAAAAGGGGATAAAAACAAGTCGAAGGTAGCCTGCATCGAGGTTGGAACAAGCCCCATTCCAGGCTTGACCAATGAGCAGTACGAGACCTTGAAACACTTTGGAGACAACTTGAAGACCACATAGGGTAATACAAACGAATCCTACTGCTTTTATGACAAGTAAAACGTAATTGATTCGGGGTCCACCAAACATATTAAACATAACGTCAAGATCCTTGATAACATAGCCTAAACTCATAGTGAAACGCTTGTTGTCATTCCTAATGGAGAATTCATACATGTCAAAGGAAAAGGTGAATGCACCTTAACAGGAGATGCAAAAATAAAAGATGTTCTCTATATACCCAAGTTCACTTGAAATCTTCTATCAGTTAGTTGATTAAGTAAAGACCTTCAATCGGCCATAATCTTTTTTCTTGATTTTTGTGTTATTGAAACATCCCAAAAATACTAGCCAAAAATTTCGTTTTCAAAATCATTTAACAAAATAAATATCATCGCCATAGTATAAAATCATAAAACATGTATCTGAAAATCTCATAAAATCTGTCATCATATCACAATCTCATAACATATCAGAGTAAACTCTCAGGCTAAGAAAACTGTGGTGTGTGCCATGTCATCATCCCGAGTCCTTTCCCTTGCTAGCTGAAGTACCTGAAACCAAAACTGAAACTGTAAGCACGAAGCTTAGTGAGCTCCCCCAAACTACCACATACCATACAAATCACATATAACAAATAACTTAACTCTGGGACTACTCCCAACTGCATCGGGACGAATCCCGACATCGGCTTACCCGACATCGGACTCCTACCCGGCATCGGGCTCACCCTCGGCATCCGACCGCATTGGGCATCGGGCTCACCCCGGCATCGGGCTTACCCCGACACATACACAACATAACATATATCATAAACATATAATCTGCATCGGGATTGCCCCGACATCGGACCGAAGCCCGGAACACATAATCATAACATATAAACTAGCATACATCAGGCTTCCCCCGGCATCGGGCTTACCCCGGAACACATGACACATAACACACAAACATACATGAATCACAAAGACATCAGGCATACAAAACTACTTCTCGGGACCGCCCCGGCATCGGACCGAGGTCCGGAACATATAAACTGCATCGGGCTAAGCCCGACATCGGGCTCACCCCGGCATACTCTACAACTTAAACGGGCCGGCATTGTGGACGTAGACCCGTTCCTACTGGAAGGAAACTCACCTCGTGCGACTGACTGCTGCAACTCTGGGTGAGAAATCTCTGTATGCTGCTCCGACGACTCTTGTGTGTTTGTGAGCCATTAGAGGTACTACATTTGTGGTACTTGTTCTCAAGAGCAAAGGAACTTCAAGATTTAGTTGTTATTACTACATAGCAACAAAGGTATGTATTCTAATCTTTTTTTTTTGTGTATTTCGAAAATTTAGATGCATGCTAGGGTTTTCTTTTGTGTTCATTTGGTGTATGTCTAATAGTGAAAACATAGATCCAAATTAGGGTTGCATGCACACATAGGATTGTTTGTATAAAAACCCATCACTTCCTAGATCAATGAGAATCCAAGGTGATCACTCTTCTTCAAGAACACCAAAATACACTCAAGGATGGTCTTCCAAGCTCACACACTCACAATTAGAGTAAGGGTTTCGAAATAAGGCTTAAGGTAAAGAGGAGGCTGAAAGAATGAAGAGCCTTGGGTCTTAAGTTGTTAAAATAGTGCACAATCTTAGGGGTTTTGAGTGCAGACGACGAACGTGCTGCGTTCCTCCCTTGAACGCCCCACATTCGTCTTGGCCTTCGCGTCCAACTCCATGCTCTGAACGCTAGGCGTTCACGATATGAACGCCCCACGTTCGAGCCTTGCCTCCAACACAAGCTAGTAATTAAGGGTTTTAGGCTATAAAATCCTCCATACTTAATTGGTTCAAGCTTATGCATGCAATATGAATCTCATAATTCCCGAGATGTTACACACGCCAGCATTGATCGACCTCCTTTTGAGATGCTCTACGGGAGGAAATTCAGGACCCCGATTTGTTAGGGCGAGGTCGGTCAGTGGGTTATGGGGAGTACCGAGGTGCTACTCAAGACCACTGAGCTGATTCAGCAGGTTTGGAGTAGGCTCCAGACAACTTAGAGTCGACAGAAGAGTTATGCAGACAGGACCCGGTCAGATTTAGAGTTCCAGGTGGGGAATATGGTTCTCCTGAAGGTGTCACCTTGGAAAGGTGTCATTCGATTCAGGAATAGGGGCAAGTTGGGCCCCCGATATATTGGTCCTTACAGGGTTTTAGCTCAGGTGGGCCGAGTTGCATATCGCTTGGATCTTCCAGATGAGCTCAGTCAGATTTGTAGCACGTTCC